CCTGCAAAGCTCGAAGATGTAAACATTTCGTCACTGGTTTTCTAATCTGCGGTCCACAACTAATGCAGTCATCTTTCAAACAGACCCAAGATTAGACGTGGAGTTTCACCTGAAGAATGTGAATCATCTTGCATAATCGTGGATGATTAAGAGAACAAGACACTATATTGTTTTAAAATGTGTAGAAAAGTTATCATGACCCACGTAGGGGGAGAAAACTTAGGATAAAGGAATGTTTTGTCAAACTACATAAGAAGGGCAACTGAAGCCTTTGGAAGAATTGGTGCGGCGTCATGTTCCAGTTTATCTTATATAAAATGGTAAGCTGCATCATTCGAAAGAGACTAATAGATCCTGTGAATCAGAAACTCTGCCCCGAACAAACTAGATTTGAGGAAAACAAATCATGTACTGACTAAATTGCAGCGTTACGCATCATCGCCAAATGGAGCACAGAGTGACATTCAACTCTTTACCCCGACTTTGAAAAAGCCTTCGGCAACGTTAACTGCAAAGTAATTTTGAAAATGATCCAACAATAAGCGGTGCCCAAAACTTGTATAAACCTCATTCAACAACTACATAAAAATGCCATATGTCAAATGATTCAAATCGCAAAACTTAGCGAAGCATTTGAAGAGACAGTAGAACCAAGTGTAATACAAGGCTGTCTAATATAACCGACGATATTCTTGATTGCGGTGAAATGAATCATGCCTCAGACTTTGGAAAGCGAGAAGACAGGCATACATTGGGCCGACCAGGAGACTATAAGATCTTGACTTCATGGATGATTTATGTCTAGTGCTTCGCGAAGCTGAAGACCAACAGACGAAAACCAAGAAGTTGGCGGAAAAGGGAGTGACAACGGGACTTCAAATGAACATAAAGAAGATAAGTGATGAGATCACTGTAAATCTATTGTACTCAGCATGCGAAACAAGATTTGGATGTTCATTACTAATGTCAAGTCAGTTATGCTGTATGGTTCACAGACTTGATGCGTCATGAAGAGCATTCCCAACAGCCAACTGTAGATTGTCATCAGCATCTGCCTTTGCTCGATACTGAAGATCAGATGGCCAGGAAGGATAATGACACGAGGAACTCTGGGAAAAAACCAAGCAAAAGCCTATCGCCCAACAAACATGTAGAAGTAAAAGTAGATGAATAAGACACTCTGGGGAAACCTCTGAGTGACGTAATGCTCCAGGCCCTAATAGGAAATGACAACTTTGGCATGGAGAGGGTTATATGAGGGGGAAATGAAAGCTTATAGACAGTAGTACAGACAGCTAACATGGACCACAGAGAGGACAATGGAATTGAAATGTACTGCTGAAGAATTGGGTTCCACTGGGAATCCAAGAAAATCATATATATATCTCAACAGAACTAATGGCCTCCTGGAGAGACTAACCCCCAACACGCCCTGTTGCAGCTGGTCAAACCAAAACTTGCAATCAGTCCATGGAAACCTTGAGGGTTGCTTTAAGCAACGCAGGAACTTGTAGGCATCCTCGTTGGGGTCCTCAGGATTCCGAGAACCAATGGCTGGTGACAGCCGGTGATATGGCTCAAAATCATCGTTGTCAATAGAGTAGATGCACTCACTCTTTGTAACCCCTCATATCCACTAAGCTGTGACATTTTTCCATGTTACTGTGCTAACTCTCTCGCATTTCTGTTTATTATTGCGTCGGTGGCACAGTGGTTAGGACTCTCGCCGACCATGCACATAGTCCGGGGTTCGATCCCCTGCCGATGCATACCTGATATCTATGGTCGGCCTGCAAATTTTGGGCTACCGATATCCATGCTGAAAATTCTATACCTGTACCAAAAAAATACGGTGTGGAACCAAGTTGCAATCTAAAATATAAAAAAATTATTGTTCTCTTGAATCTCTATTTTCTTTCTTTTGCCTTCGTTTATGTGCTACATGGAGAGTGGCAACTAAAATTACTGTACTTCTGTGCGGAGTTCTACGTTGAAACTAGTCAGTCAGTCAGTCAGTCAGTTGCAGCTATGTGTGCTGTCAGTGAGTTGTTCGGGTGCACAATTAACACTCCGATCGCCGCCAACCATCTGACATTATTTCAAAGTGCTCTGCAAACTTGACTCATAGATTTTAGTTAGCACCAAGACTAATGACTGGATGGATAACATTGGTTACACCCAAGTAACATGCTACTTGATATTATGAACCATTGTGCGAATTATTCCTATTAAATTACGTATCAAGTTAGTCTTTTCTGTTGCGTTTAGCATTATTATTATTATTATTGTATCCTTTAGTTCCTAGAGGAACATAGGGCTTCAGCTGCGCACCTCCATTGACTTCGGTTTTCTGACAACTTTTTCACCCTGCTCCAGGTCTGTCCACATGCTTTCATCTCCTCCTCGCATACCTTGAGAGAAATAAATTGGCCAACTAAAAAAATAATCATGATTAATAGTGCGTTTCGTCACAACGAAAATAAGTACTTAATGTGTGTTTTGATTAATGACTGACTGGTTTCAATGCAGTACTTTGCACAGATCCACAGCAGTTCGAGTTGCCACACTCCATGTAGCACACAAAGCAGAAGAAGACAGTAAAGAGAGACAATAAACCGAACTGTAAGGTAAAAAGGATGGTAATATATGAGAACAATAGAATTTTGTTGGATATTACAAATCATAAGGAGTAAGTACATCTGCGCTATGCATTGAGAACGACTTTGAACCATATCACAGATTGTCTCCAGCCATTGGTTTTTACCACCTCAAGGATCCCAACAGTGAAGTTCACATAACCCTACGCTACTTAAACTAACTGTTGTGGATTTCATTGACTGACACCACATTTTGGTTTGACCACCACTGGCTTTTTTTCCAACCTATTCCTATGCTAGTTAACATTACCTGTCGATTAACTTATTTATTAAAGATATAACGTTTATCAGAACTATTGAAATTGAATTATTCCCTAGTGTTGTAAACAAAGTTTCATAAGTTTTGAAAACTGAATTAAATTAAATGTTATAAGTAATACAACTTTATAGCCCATGATTTTCAATTTCATAACTTGAATGTCCAATGTTTTGATCCCATTTGGGATTGTGTGAGTCAATACTTCCGAAGAGTATCATACTAGGACGAAACAGTTATCCAGTTATCCCTGGTTTACAATAGCTTTCTAAGTGATGTCGTTTCGTGAAATAATCTACCTGTAAGTCTTAAAACTAACTAGATCATTATTTGTTCGGAGCCTTAGTCTTGCCGCATGAAAAGTTTTAACAGAATAACAACTTAATTTTACTTTTGAGGATGCCTATAGTGTCGATCACCCCTGGATGTGTTATAATGAAATTTCATATAACTTCAGACAATTACGTTTTCTGTGGGTTTTTGAAAAAAATAATAAAATCTTTTTTACTACAAATGAAACGTTTTTTTGTTGTTTTAGCTTGATTCCACACCGTATTTTTTGGTACAAGTATGGAATTTTCAGCATGTGATATGGGTAGCGCAATTTTGCATGCTGATGCACTCCTTTACCTCGCTAAGCCAGTAATAGGACTGGCAAAGAGGAAAGGTTGGTCATGAGGCTAGCAACCCCATCCTGTAAAAATAAACACCACTGCCACCGACACTTCAAGCCTGTAGCTTGAAGCCCTATGTTCCGCTCGAAACGTAAAGGAATAAAAAAATTTAAAAATGAAATATACTTGGGAGTATAAAAACACTGAAAATGTAGTATAACAGCTGATATAATTACACACATGTTTTGAATATTTTTCAGTCAGTACTGACTAACAGTTCTACTATTAACTTTAAGTCTTTTTGATACTAAGCGGTTGAAGGCAATCGTCAGAAAGTCTTCGACCTAGATTCCGTCCTAGTTAGCACTTGTCAGCAAGGCGTATCTGTAACCCTGAGGGAATTCATGCCCCTTTCTGAGATTCTAATCCGTGTCATCGAGTGCTACAGTCAGAGACATCATCACTGAACTACTGTAGCTCAGGATTGACCTTCTGTAAGATTGTATTGGATGCTTTGATTTGACACTAGTTAGTAACTAGTGTAATATGTAAGACTAAATAATCACCTAGGGATACCTTAAAAGATCCGCAACTCCTTTATTCCCATTTATTTATCTTGTAGAGTCCTACTGGTCACAACTGATTTCTAAATTTCAACTGGCTCTCAGATTTTTCTTTGTGTATAAATACTTGAGCTGTTGCGCAATAATTGTAATAATAACATTATTCCAAGAAGCACTTTTAATAAAAAAATGTAGAATTTTCAGCATTTAATACAATATTGTATCTAATTTTCTCCTTACACTGCATAGTAAGAGGGAAATAATTAAACAAGGTATTTACATTGATTATAATGTCAATAAGGATATGAATTTAAGACAAAAATTAGGTACAAACACTGACAACAATATATTCTTTAAAAAAAAAGATAAAAAGATCCGTTTACTTAGTCTTTCTCAGTAAGTTTATGTGGACTTCTTCCGAACATGATAAGGAATACTGACTAATTTCTGACCAAAAAAAGCTATTGACTTTTAAAAAATCTTATTAAGATGTAACCTGCATCGAAACAAACAGACCATCGCCACATGCGACCAAAATTGGCTTCATCTGAATGAGGCAAGTCATGTAAGAAGAAAGAAAACAGAAAAGGAGAAAGAACGGCACCTTGAGGAACACTGGCTACACTAAATAAAACACTAGAGGACTCCCATTTATATACAGTGTACTGCACCTCTTGCATACACAAGCTCTAAAACTGAACGCCCCTTGTACCAGTTTGACCTACCTTGTAGGTAATTTTAATTAAAGACAACACTGGTAGAGCTGCGTACAGAAAAGGTTCGTTACGTAATCATATAAATTGTACTAAAATAGATGATAATGCCTCTTTTTAACAACATAATATGAAGATAACCATACTTCTCCTTTCTTTCTGACCTTATTGGCTGTCTAATTTTTGTATACTTTCAGAGTGATGGATTTACATATGGGTGATTGTATCTACGCAATATCTGGTTACCCATTGGACTGGCATACTCTGGAACAATTAAGGCATAAGTTAATTGAATTAGATGGACTATCACCAAATTCAAATATCTATGAACTAGCAACTTATTTACTTAACAGACCTTATCAAAATTCTAAGATTTCTAGGAAAAATCATGACTCAAATAATACTGGTATATTCAAAGTTACTACCGATATAAAAAATTCAGAAGTTTTCGAACCACCAATGCTTATTCTTTTTCGTTATCCTAAAACGAGTTTTTTATGGAAAGATCAAATTGAAAACGATGAATTAATGAAACCAATGGTAAGTTTAAACTGTATATACTTAGCATAAATTTCGGTGCTTTTTACTTGTTTGATTAGTCAGTTCATCAAGAATGTCCTGAGCACTTCAATTATCTAAATTGTTATTGTTATCTCTGTGCTTCTGATATTTACGCATATGTTCCAAATGAGGTGGTACGAAAACATCTTCTATACATAAGTAGTTATAGCAGCCTCAAGAGAACCTTGTATATGGTAGGACTAAAAATCAATCGTTTTTAGGCCTTAAAATGTAATGCTTGGATAGAAAATTCTAAGCACTATCTGCTTCACAGTACCTTTTCATTCAAGCCGATAACCCATCAGCTGTTGTTTAGAACGCTGTCGTAGAACAAGGTTTCTGTTCAGCCAGTCAGCTGAATGTATGTTGTTTCATCTACTGATAAGTGACTTTAAATGTTGATTTATTTCAGCTTGAGGTTTAGAAAACACTCAACCTCGACATTCTAGAAACCATTAGATTGTTTTATCACCCACACACCCCGTCACATTTTTGTGATCTTAATGGTTAGCCAACTTTAATAAAATTTGTGTCAGAAACGTCTAACTTTGTACAATATACCATTTCTAATGTCTTGCATTAATTGTATACCTTTCAGAATGTCCACTTTTGGAAGCATTCATTCATAGGAGGTATCAGAGTAACAGTCAGTAAAAACAACATCTGTTTTTATCAGAATAAACTGTACAATATAGTAATAGTAGTATTAGAAACTTTGAAATATCCAGTCATATTTATTTTCTGTTTATTAAAAACCTTCAGAATACTGTTAAACAAGATAGAGTTAATTGCTATGAAACGGTGCTTGAAAACAATCCAGAAGATACAGGATTGGGTTTACAGATAGGATGCGATGAAGGTATGTTTTAATTATGATGACAAATGTCTATTCACTCGTATCATTTTCTCTTTGAATCTTTTCTATTCGAAGTAATTAGCACTTTGTATTAAAGGTTAAGCAGATAGTCACATTAGTTACTGAATATACTTGCTAAGATCATGTTTACCTTCACTAGTTAAGTTCTTATATAATAGCCTGATTTTGAACTCATTAGTGCGTGTATGATCTAAATTAGCATTCTAGTCTTCCATAATCATTTATCTTTCTGTGTAGACGATGACTTATGAGGATTTATAGTTTTACTTCAAGAAAACACTACAGTCGTCTATGGTGGTATACTCGGGATGTCCACAGATGTACCTAGGAGGAATAATCTTTCAAAGTTTTGTATAATTTTTGTTATGTTCTCAACGTTTTCAATCGAAATTGCATTCAATTCAGCATACTATCCTCCGACATCCGCATAGATCAGCATCAGTTGAGCGTTTATACAGCGTGTTTCAAGCATATCTACGTGTATATATCAATGGATAATAATGAGGATAATAAAACCTTATCGAATAACCTAATCAAGATATTGACGCATTATAAATTGCCATTAATAATATATTAGTATATTCGTTAGAAAGATATTAAGTCACATTTATGTTTATGGATGATTTTCAAACATTAGTTGGTAAGTAAACAATAGCCGATATACTTCACACGTTTTCGATACCAACCACAGTTTACCGACTAAGTCCTCAGTGTTCACATGTCATTAAACGTTTTCACCCATAAACAGACAGATGTCGTCAACGTGTTTACCTTCATAATGACCGCAGAATACATACATTCCAGGGGCGCAGCAAATTTGTCGTAGAAAATTAATAAAACACTGAAACAATCCAAAAATTGAGTTGACCTGTTTGTCAAAACTCATCTGGAAGACGTGACAAGAAATAATGGTCTAAGAGCTCTCCTTGTAACGGAAGGTCCTGGGTTCGAGCCCCCGGTGTTTGCGTAATAAGACTCCCTAGCTTTCCATTGGTTCTCTAACCAATGTCAGCTCAGATGAAAATTATCCTTCTTTTGTTTATTTAAAAAACCTTCTCCACTTATTTGAACCCCTCTTTATGCTTTACTTTTAAAATCAGTTTATGTGAGTTCGAGAACATGGAAGTACTGAACATCCGTTTTGTCCTAGTCAAGGAAACTTCACCAGTAGGCATCCATAATCCCAATGGGGATCAAACTCAGGACCTTCAGGTTACTAGTTGAGCCTGTTGACCATTTAGCTACTAGGACGGCTTCAGTACTGATGAAGAGCGCTAGACTTGGACGAAACAGGTGTCTAGTACTTCCTGGTTTTCTAGGGTTCTCTAAAAATGATGTCAGCTTGTGACCTAACTTGAAACCGATAAATTCCTTGCAAGCCAACACTTGACAATTCACGTGAACTTTTTGTTTCCTTTTGTTTTACCAAGTCTTCTAACAACCTTTTTATTTTAAACTTGTCATTTCTAATCTTGTGTATAAATGTGCATGAAAAAAAAATATATATATATGCGTGATAATATTGTTCAAAAGTAGATTGTATGAAATGCTGTACTCTCTGTAACAGCTTATTGTTTTTAAATTTTCTAAAGGAGTTAGAAAAAAGAAACAGAACGTCTATTTACACATAATCCATTTTTGCGTGAACACTTCAGTTGTCAGTTAGTATTTGAGATGAATTCACTATTTCATCTCAATACTAGTTTTAGATGGCTAGATCACCATAGCTAGTAGTGGTAATGTCGCCTATTTATATGTGGGCTGAAAAGACAACCAACCTTTTTCCAATTTTGCTAACTATGTAGTAAGAGCTGTGTCTATTGAAAAAGAAATCCACATTCGATAAATCGATGTTAACTGCTTATGAAGTCAATACGTTTTTGTTGAATGACATTCACTTAAGTGAGAATCATGCAAATCCTCCTCCTAGTAGGAAAAACAATGGCCGGCAACACAAAAGTTGCCAGACATTTTTGTTTGCTGGCTATAAATAATTAAAAACTTTAGAAACTGTTAACAGTTCACTTTAATTCTATCAAACAGTTATTTATATCTGCGAAAGAAAAATGGAGAATGAGAAAGCAGACTGTAACACTTTTTAATCTGAAGACTTCCTTCTGAGTCATAGTTTCTTCTTTCAGTTGGGTGAATGATGAATAAATGATTTAAATCCTTGTTTTTGCTTTATTCAGATTTCTGTATATAAAATATCTAAAGGCTTATAATATTCAGATGAATTAGAATAAAACGATTGAAGTGGCCTACAGAATCGTTTGTAAATAATAAACAATACTCAGACCCTTTATTCGTGTTTATTATTAACTTGTAGTCCATCTATTACTTTTCATGAATTGAACAGATGATAAAGGCATCTACATTGTTTCCATATTCAAAAACAGCCAAGCTGAAAAGGATGGTGTTCTGAAAGAAGGAGATCATATAATTGAGGTAGGTGTTCAAGTTTATTGTAGTAAACTGCCATTTTACTCCTACTTTCCTGATTAACTAAATATCAGGTTTCAGTTTTAATTGAAAACTTTCGGAGTATAAATCTTACATTTACAATCAGCTTTCTATCGTTCCAGTTAAATGTCTCATGATGAAATGCTGTAACCAATCGAATTCCTGCAAACTCACACTTGAATTTCGTTACTGTAGTAATCTTAAGTGACTATATTGTTTTTGTCTGAAAAGTAAACGATAAAGCGTTTGCAAAGTTGTGCTGTTTTGTTTTTTTCATCTACTTCATTGCACATTTGTTTAAATAGAAATACTAAATAAAGTGTGATTGTCGATCATTTCAGCTGGCTGTTAGCCGCTTGCAAGTTTGTTAGTTTTTATAGTTGACTGCATATTTGTTTTAACCAAATCATAGGTCACGTAATTCTTGCAATTTATGCGAATAAAACAAATTCTGATACAACGAACTGACTCACAAATTAAGCACTTGAGATACTAACTGGACACCTAGAACAAAGCAGGTGGTTGTCTTAACAGGCCAATCCCTGGTCCTTTAACTTAATGTCTATTTCATGTCAAGAGCTGTGTTTGATTGCATGGAGGATTTCGTCATGAGCTGACATCAGTTAGAGAAGCACTGGAAAACCTGGGAGTACTGGACAGCTGTTTCGTTTCGAAGAAGACATTGCGAAATAGTCACACCATGTCGTGAATTGGCAGAAGTTAGAATTCAAGAACCATTGGATGGGGTCCCAGTGATTCAATGGTCTACTAGGTCGCCTTGTAACCGGAAGGTTCTGGGTTCGAATCCCGGTGGTTGCGTACTGTTGAAGAGTCTCAAACTAGGACGAAACAGCTATCCAGTACTCCCAGGTTTTCCAGTAGTTTCCCAAATGATGTCAGCTCATGATGAAATCCTCCATGCAATCAAACAAAATCTTTACAAAAAAACCAATACTTGAAAAGAGCTGTGTTTGTCTAATTACCATTGACCGAAACAAGTCTCTGCGTCACTGTTGTTTTCCGATCATCAGGGTCATGTGTGCCATAAATTTAAAAATAGGGTTTTCTGACTTTCTTATCCAAAAGTCCAGTGATGAGTACCGAAAGCTGGCATTACCTTTTTCACTTTGTTGGAACATACCCTGTTGAGTGAAGTTAGTGAATAGGACACACTTGGCAGAAGCTGTAAGCGCCTGGCAACATGATAACAATTCGAGAAGAAGACTGGTTGTTGCAGGTCATTTGGCCGTGAGAGGCCGTAATAATTATATAACATATAAGTGTAGTATTTCTATTTCATAGTCTTGTTTTTTTTTACTTTTTGGCTAAATCAAAATGAGCCAGACAAATTATTCCTTTTAAATGCAGTAGTCACCATCAGTTCTTAGTTTAAATCACTTCCGAAAGCATTTTGAAAACTTTCAATGTAGATATTATCATTCTTACTAACATACAAAAATTCTTTTTTGTAAATGACAACATAAAAAAGACCGATATTCAGTCCTATGTATTCAGTCAATTCCAGCATTCCTCTAAACCGTAACTGTTTACCTTTACTGATACAATTCTTTAAATCACATACATGACACCTCTTGAGTTCAAGTTTGACAATTTAGCCACTATTATGAAAATTGTCATTACCAAATTTTATTCTTTAGGTTAACTATTAACATAAATTGTAGGAGACTGTAAAATGTTTTAGGTCTACTAGGTTATTTTACGTGTTGAGATCTCTGATAATATACAGTTGAACTTACTGTTTTTGATTTTATCATATTCTCTAGGCCTGGTGGTTCACTTAGGTTGCTTTCATTATCATATGTTTTCCTGAACTATTGAGGTGAAAAATAGATGGGTTCGTAGAATTCACTCCTATTTGACTTAGAGGCATTAGTTTGAGTTATATCTCCTTTTAGCTTTGCTAAAAGATATTTAATGATTTACATATTGGGTTCCTTTTCATTGTGCCTTATGAGGGTGGGGAAGAGGCAACCACACACGTTGTCCGGGTTCGACTTCCGGCCGACGCACTCCTAAACCTCGCTTAGCCGGTGATCGACCCGGTAAAAAGGGAAGGCTGGGCATGAGGCTAGCAACCCCACCCTGTGAAAAGTGGGGCGGCAGGCAAAGGAATGAAAAAAGAGAGGCTTATGTAATGTGAACTGTGTTATTTTTGTGATCACTTTCCCATGACAATATTTAGCAGAGTATATTTAATCTGTACTTATGCCATTTGTCTTCCCAATAATGTTTAAAGGTAAATTATCAGAACATTGAAGGTTTGGAAGCCAAACAGGCCCTGAAAAAAGTTAAAAGCGTCTGTCGAAATGCAAAATTCGTGCATATAAAGTGTTCCAGAAATCTAAGAGCAGATGATTGTAAATGTAAGTTGCTGATATCTCATATATCCATATAAATTCTTCTGTGATCTACCCTCAGGTTGCGACAACTAATGAATAATGTTCTTCTTGGTCTGCATTTCCTGGAATGATTTAGTTTTTCAGAAAAGAATGATATTCCACTGACTCTTTCACAATTACTCTTAAATAGTGTTTTTTTATTACGTTGAATGCTTTCCTATTCACGCAGTAATTTCACGAGTTTCCATTTCAGATGGAAAACGCGGGCAGCTACTACATATATATATATATATATATATATATATATATATATATATATATATATATATATATATATATATATATCACTTACAATGCGCTCAATAAAACTAACTGCGGAAGCAGAATTATCAGTGGACATCAACCCTCCGACAAAACTGGAAATCCTGAAGGCAATACAGATGTTAAAAACTGGAAAAGCAGCATGACCAGACGTTATCCCAGCAGAAGCATTGAAAATGGACCCTGAGACATCAGCCGACTTGATGACACCACTACTGGAGAAGGTGTGGAAAGAGGGCAAAGTACCCGAGGATTGGAAGAAAGGATACTTATTCAAACTACCAAAGAAAGGAGACTTAAGTCAATGTAAAAACTGGCGTGGAATTATGCTTCTGTCCATTCCAAGCAAGATACTAAGTCGCATCATCCTGGAGAGAATCAAACAAGCCCTAGATGAAAAACTTCGTCCGGAACAGGCCGGATTCAGGAGAAACAAATCATGTATTGATCAAATCGCCACTCTACGGATCATCATTGAACAAAGCTTGGAATGGCAGTCACCTCTCTATCTCAACTTCATCCACTTTGAAAGGCCTTCGACAGAGTCGATCGAGAGGTGATTTGGAAACTAATTCGCCGCCAACAACAGTTGTACAACAATGCTGTGTGCCAAGTAATCCACAATGGGAAACTTACGGAATCCTTCGAAGTAAGGACGGGAGTAAGACAAGGCTGGCTGCCTACTATCTCCAGTGATTTTCCTGATGGCGGTAGACTGGATAATCCGACAGACAGCGGCAGGAAACGAGGAGACAGCACAAAATGAACCCACAGAGAACACTTGGAGGATCTGAACTTCGTCGATGATATTTGTCTGATTTTTCACAGACTGGAAGATATGCAAATGAAAAGCCAGAAGTTGGTAAAAGAAGCATCCAGAGAAGATAGGACTTCAGGTGAGCATAGATAAAACAGAGGTGATGTAGATTCCTGACCAACAGCAACAGTAACAACAACAGACAACAATCAGCCCGCTAAATGAGAGAAAGAAGCATTGTTTCAACTAAAGGTGGACGGAACTGATAAGGATATCAAAGCGGTTATCGGTAAAGCAAGACAAGCTTTCATTACTCTCAAGTCTGTGTGGAGATCAACATCACTCAGCATGAATATTATAAGATCCGGATTTTCAACTCCAAGGTGGAGTCAATGCTACTTACTATATGGATCAGAGACCTGGCGCGGTGTCACGAAGAGCACTTCGAACAAACTAGAGACCTTCATCAACAGCTGTCTCCGCTTAATACCACTCAAGATCGGATGGCGGGCCAGAAAAGACCATGAACAGGGTGGGATCTGTGGGATCGAACCAACCCAGCTGGAACCGACCGTGCAACAAATGTGGAGGAAGAAATGGAGGTGGATTGGCCATACTCTGAGAAAACAAGCCATCAAGTGAGTGACATCACACGCTTGGTTCTCTCTCGAGTGTAACTTGAATGGGAATTGGTGAGTTGGTCCTCAGTGCTAGAGTGACATGGAGAATTCTTGGCTGAATTGTTTCGCTCTTGCGGCTTCCACAAAGGTTCTGATTTTATCTGCCAGAGTTAATCCCTATCACACATACATATCATTCTAAGTACCTATTTCCATTCACTCATTCACTGTCCATCAATAAAGTTATTTCTCACATTCACTGAACAAATACTGATACACAGTATTCACTCAGCACAATATATCGACATGTAGTTCAGGTGTAGTTTTTATTTCAATTAACTTATTAATTGATGTGCGTCGTTGGTTCAGTAGTCAGACGCTCGCCAACCACCTATTTGGCCTGGGGCTTGGTCGTCGGTCGACGAACTCCCAGACCTCGCTAAACTAGTTGGGATGTCAGTAAAGAGCGACAGTAGGGTATGAAGCTAGAAACCCCACCCTCTAAAAATGAAAGGACCACTGCTATGGAAACTTTAAGTCTTTAGCTTGAAACCCTGTGTTCCACTGGAAACGTAAAGGAATAAAATGAAATAATACTAATGGATGTCCCCATCCTGCCCGTAGGTAAACACTTCATGTTGTACAAGACTGACCATGTCCTCTACTGGGATTAGGAGGACCAGTAGAAAACTTTATACGAAGTCGAATAATGCAGTGGATCAGAGTTTCAATTTTGTAATTATAAATGTAATTATGAAACATTTTTTAAGTAACTGGTGTTCATCTCCTTTCTCAGCCGCAGTTACAGATGATTGCAAAGAAATAAAGTCGGAAGATGCAGTGGTAATAAACAACGAAGATCGAGGTGTATCATGTCATGAAAGCTGCAACCAAAAAGACAATAATCATCAGACTGCAAACACAACTACTGGTTCCATTTCACAAACTGAATCAGATGGCAAGGATAATGGTAAAAAAATGGTTTGAACTCATGTGTAATTAGCTTATTCATTGTATTTAAATACTGTATAGTGCACAGAGAATTTTCTCATCACTATGCACTAAAATGCTTTTCTGATTTATGTGTAAAACTGGCCACTGTGATAGTATATTATTCCATATTAATTTGTTTATTGGATATATCACAGTGAAACAGTATTATCTACTAGATTTTACCTGCAGCTGTTTTCATCTGTCTCACTTAGTGCTGTTCCTAATTTTCCAATGACATCCTCAGGTTTCAGTTTATCTACTGCTACACCGGAATTTAGTCCTTTTCCTAACGCACTTATTTCTATAAGATTTAAGACCTTTGTTGGGAGAGAGAGAGAGAGAGTGAATTACCAACCGTTGATAGCGTCTTACTGCTGTCTCATTGCTCTCAGATAGCCATTTCTCTTCAACTGATTAGTTAAACTCCTTCATCTGAGTATTCGCTGAATACTGCTGGTTTGGCATTGTTGGGAGATTATACTGTAAGGTTACAATCCTTGTTTTCAAATGTCTCAATTTCAGTTTAGACATTGCTCGACTTTTGTGCTTTCCTGTGAATTTCCTTCAAGCATCTTTTTCTTGGTCGTTTTCTTACTGTTCTTTAACCGGTACTATTGGACAGGCGTAGATGTATAAGAATGATTTCATTGCTAAGGCATTCAATAGCTATTATTATCATTAGAAATCAGTTCTGAATTCCCTTCTAAGAATAGTTTGTCACTTTGCCTGTCCAGATAAAGACCACCAAACATTTTCGTTAGCTATAGTTTCCAGACATGATGGCCACATTCCAGCTGAAAATCTGAAGAATATTATGGCTATTTTTTACGAAATTCGATGAATGAATCATATTTCAAACCTAATCCTAAAACATTGGAGGACTCAGAAGCACAGAACAATATCAGCATGATATTAGAAAGTGCACCTCTAACAAATAACAAAGAAAAAACTTGAAAAATGTGGTATTACTTTCCAGAATGCCAAAGTTCGTGGGACTGTCCCTTGCAGGTTAGTAGAATTCGATCCTGAAGTGCTTTAGAAGATGTGACTTTCTCAGGTAATACCGAATACCTGATAGATTTCACTTCATCCAGAGTCTTAGACCAAGTGTCTATCCGCAGATATTCACATACCATCCATGTGATAGGTCCATTAGAGAGTATAATGACCTAAACTAGTCGATACAGAAATAACTCATATGATCGAAAAATATCAATGACCAACACAGACTGTAGCAGCGAAAATAGCAGTGATGACAATGAAGAGGTGCTAACTAATTAACAAGGGATCACGAGCTGAATACTAAGCACGGAAAGATTTATAAACGTTTTACAAATTAGGACCATCAAATACTCATGAATACACAAATTTCCCAACTACAATACTAACAGAAGGTAACAGAACACTCATGGACCCATTTACAATTCAAACTTTCATCATGAAATCGGCTCTGATTTTTGCAAATTTAGTAATTTCAACAGGAGTACCTTGGTTCACACTGCCTTTATCTTCACACCTGATGTAAATAAATATGCTTGTAACCCTCGAAGTTCTGTAGTTGGTCAAGAATCTGCATAGGTCCAGCACCTCACATCGTGCATCACGAAACAACATAAACAGCACCAGACTCTGGTTCTAACTAAGAAGCTATAGATAACTGAAAATTAAGCAGCAGCAAGCGATTATCTCCCCTTCCTGGGAAATTTATCAAAACAACAGCACACACGTTACTCATGGTGAGCCTCAGAATCTTCTTAAACATAGTGCAGTCAACTAAAAAATTAGAGGAAGTGAGACGAAAACTTCTTAACTATTCCACTGAAAACTCTTAATTCCTGAGACGTATGCTTTTTAACTCGCTCTGTCTCCATACCAAGACGATGTCTGTTCTCTCTCTAACATACCTAGAATAATAATAGTGCTGGTAACTGAAACTTACCTGTCCTTTCATAGACACTAAGCTTTTTATTCGTGACTACAACAATAGAAGGAAAGATAGAATCAATAAAAAAATGAGTGAATTACTGATCTGTGCCATCAGGTGCATAAACATGTACTTCAACAGACCTCACCTCCAAAAGGCCCCCAGAATCTCGATAGATGTTCATGCATATAAACAGAAATAAACTTCACACCGGATGTGTACACACAGTTCCAAATACTCTTAAAACAATTGATAAGATCATCGATAAAAAAATAGATCATTCATCTACTTATAAGTTTGAAGGGCAAGTGGTCTGTGAAGGATTCAACCTTCCTAGATGGAAATGAGATATTTAAGCGAGATCAACAAACCAGAGTGAACTTTCGAAAGCTATAGACACCTTTGGATGGGAGTAGTGTATATGACTCCAAACGTGAAACAGCAACATACTAGACTTAGTATCCTGTAATAATGCTGAATCTCCTAGTACAGTTAAGGTACAGAGTTAATAAAAGCCATCACAATTTACTGTACTGCAATCTACTACTTTTGTGCGTCGGTGGCACAGTGGTTAGGACGCTCGCCGACTAAGCGCACAGTCCGGGTTTCTATCCCCGGCACCGACACACTCCTTTACTTCGCTAAGCCAGAAATAATGCTGGTAAAGAAGAAAGGTTGGACATGAGGCTAGCAACTACATCCTGTAAAAATAATCACCACTGCTACGGAAACTTCAAGCCTCTCGCTTGAAGCCCCATGTTCCACTGGGAACGAGAAGGAAAGAAAAAAAGAATCGACCACTTTGATTAACAACTTAGGATATAAAGGCGAATGAAAGAAATTTGCAGATTTTAGAAGAGATTCACCATTTCAAACATTTCTATAGAATATTACTAGAGAAAAAAGAATGAATATGGGTTGCATGACTTGACAAATAAAAATGTTTTAGTACTTAATCCCACTTCAAATCTGCCTACAGTTAGATATTACTTGCTTTGTTTTAAGTATAAAAGTGTATGCAATCAATATAACTGAGTCAGTTGAATACCGAGTCATTTTCTTAATTGTTATCGATTTCAAATTTTAAAGAAATATGTAGCTCCAAATAATAATAATAATAATATCCATTTCCAAAAGATATGCTTCTTAAATTAAGATATTAACTGTCAAAATGTCAAATATTTATTTATTAAATAATTTATTGTTTCATTCTTTTTATCCTGAAAACAGAAAACAGATATCCAAATATTAAAGACAATAATGGTGATAATGATGACGAAAGTATCCTGGGTAAATGGTCAGATATGTTTGATCCCGATGTTAACATACTGGTAAGATATTTTATTATGCCTTTAATTAGTGCAAATGATATCCCGGGAAAAAATCAGCGTAAACGGTATTATGTATGTGTATCGTAGATAAGTTACCTCAGAATTAAGATTAAATGAAATTGTAAAACAGCTGTTTTAGTATAAAACACCGTACGGTAGTTTCGCTTGTTTGTGATCAAGCCCATCAACAGCGTATCCGGTTAGACTCAGCCGAATATGAATAGTCTTGGTTTCCAAAAGAAACTCTGGTGAAATAATCTCCTCCAACTGTGTAAACTGTGAACTATCAAGTATTTGTTTTGTAGGGATTTTGTTTAGTTAATTGGTTGGTTGGAGAATTTCATCGTGAACTGACATCATTCTGAGAACCATTGGAAAACCTGGGAGTACACCACGCCTGTTTCGTCCTAGTGGTAGAGACTCTCCAGCAGCACGCACTCACAAGGGTTCGGACCCAAGACCTTCTGATACTCACCAGCGACTGGCCCCATTCAGGCAGTTAACCTGGGGTTCTAGTGAGAAGCCGCGACCAGTAGGGTACAGCAGGTTGAGGTTGAGGCAGTAACTCATCGAAGAAGACATTGCGAAGTGGTCACGCTATGTCATTAGGTGGCAGAAGTTAGAATTCATGAGCTGGTCACTGGATCGGGTCCTAGTGACTTAATGGTCGGTCTACGAGTTCGCTAGTCTTGTAACCAGAAGGTCCTTGACTTGAATCCCGTGATGTGGGTGCGTGCTGATGAAGATTCGCTAACATTAGGACGAAACAGATGTCTGGGAGTACTCCCAGGTTTTCCAACGGTTCTCTAACTGACTTCGGCTCATGATGAGATCCTCTAACCAATCAAACTGAATTAATTTACAAAATTCAAGAGTAATTTGCAAATGGTGAATTTCATTGATGGTATCATCGGTTCACCCAAGTAGCTATACTAATATAGTCTAATTCGCTTCGCCTGGGTTACTTTACTACCATTTATGGTATAAGTCAGATCAGAGAGTCAGAGTCTTCCGGAGGGACAATAACAGGTGATTAGCCGGCATTTAGCCGACTTAATGAAACTCATGAGACCCCTGGCTATCATCAAGCCTACAGAGATTTCAGGAAGTGATCAAACCGAACTGCTGTTGTTCCAAAACATGCTATTTGTTTAGTCTAATTATCTAATCGCTTTAATCTATGCTACAGAAAAGTGAAGAAAAGCTGAAATCCTCTTAGCAAACCGTGGTTTTACACCTATCCTTCTCTCTAATTCCATATTTCACGTTTTATTTCCCCGTATTCATAATCACATATATATACGGGTGACTTCTATACCAAGGCCACTTTAACTCCATTTCACCCCAGTGGTTTTCAATGAAATCTTTTCTTCTTTGGATTATGAGGAGGATTTGTGGAAAAATTCTTAGCAGTCTTCATTGTACAGAGGAAAAGATTCTCCGTCGTGCAAGTACCTAAGACACAAAACAGTGTGGAGAATTCCTTTTTAATGACTTCACTGATGCATAGTTAACTAGAATTGGGCAAGCTTTCACAGTTTTGACTGCTTATCAGGTCATAGCCTAAAAAGAATGATGATAGTCGCATCCTAGATGATTTCGCTAGATTACACTGGTGATACTTTTGTCGAATAAATGAACCGCAGCTTTTCCACTGTATATAGTGGGACACGTGAGCGCTTAATTAGGCTTTAGTTTGTACTGAATAGTAGATATAAACTAGTGTAAAACACGGCATTCCAAAACAGCATTAATCTCCTATGCACTTAACTTCGTCGCTTCTCTAATCCAAACAGTCTCTCACGAGTTGTATTTTCAAATCGGTTTGCATTTCCATATATTCCTCAGGTGGATATTATCACTCCTTTTTGCTTTGCATTTAGACTACTTACTATCTTGCAAGTAGTTTGAAGTGTTTGCGCGAATATCCGAAAGGATAAATATGAAATTTTTGACGAATTTTTACCAAATTTCCATGCGACAGTAACATCTTTGTTTTGATAAAGTCTCACAGTGTTATACAGTAATGTTTACTGATGACGTTTCGAGCACAATTTATTGCTCATAATCATATCAAGGTAATCACACGACTTCCTAAATTCATTTATATAGTTCCATTGTTTTTCTCTTGATTTTCACTTGATTTGATTGGTAATAGTATTTTCCATATTTCAGGTATGAGTGATGAGTCATTCCTATTGCATGTGTGGGTGTAGACTCGATGAACAAGGATTCAGTAATCAACCTCTCTCGCTCTCCACCTACCTAGATTACTTTTTAGAATTTTAACCCTCTCCCACCATGCTATTGTGTGGTTGTGTGTTAGCGCATGCATTGCAATTGCTAAGTTTTTTTCTAAATTACTTATCTTCTCAGGGTCAACCATTCTTACCTTAGCTAAATTCTTATGTTCTGACAATCTGACTACCCCTGACCTACTAGTTTGACCTATGTAGTTGACCTCACAGTCATTGCATGGTATTTTGTAAATTATATTATTTTGTATAATTGGTCAACTGGGTCCTTTAACCTACAGAGCTTCTCCCTGAGTGAGTTTGTAGGTTTAAATGCCACCCTAATTCCTGTTTTATTCAGAATCCTACGCAGGTTTCAGATGTCTCCTCTTTATGTGGTATAACTGTGGATGACTTATATTCTTTCTTATTTATGTTATTATTACTAGTTTCACAATTATTTTTATTTTGTTTTTGGCCTTTAATGATCTTCCTAATGAATTTTATAGGATAGTTATTCAGAGGTTGATTACTGAATCCTTGTTCATCGAGTCTACACCCTGCACATGCAATAGGAATGACTCGTCACGCATACCTGAAATATGGAAAATACTATTACCAATCAAATCAAGTGAAAATCAAGAGAAAAACAATGGAACTATATAAATGAATTCAGGAAGTCGTGTGATTACCTTGATATGATTATGAGCAATAAATTGTGCTCGAAACGTCATCAGTAAACATTACTGTATAACACTGTGAGACCTTATCAAAACAAAAATTTATCCATAATGGAATTATACTCTACCTTAGTGCACATGTTTTATTCTTATATCAATGACAATAACATCTGACCTGTTTTTGTTTACTGTTTGTAAGTTTAGCAGCAAAAATGTGCTTATGATTAAATAGTACCTTTAGCTGTTGCTCAAAAAACAAGCATACGAAGATGAACAGCATTTCAGCTCTCTCAATTCACCCAGGGTTATATTTAAGTACCGACTCCTATTCCACACCTTCTGGAGTATATATCCTTCACATTCCTCAGCTGTGCCACCTGACTGATAGCATTCTCTTCTGTTGCGCACAATCCAAAATATATTTGATTGAATAACGAAATTCATTCCTTTACTCAACTTAAAAGACACATTTCTATAAAGATTGTAGTCATTTTTGAGCTAGAGTTTATAAGCAATATGACTTGTAACCGTTCTGTGTTGTACAATCGTATGCCGTGAATTGATTTACACAGCTGTATAAAGTGGTGTCATACACCAAGCATCATTGATAAAATTCTGCCAGAAGTAGAATCAAATATATGACTTCAGGTGGACATAGAGAAAACAGAGGTGATGAAGACTCCTGGCCAACACCAACAGCAACAACAACAGACAACAATCAGCCCGCTAAATGGGAGGAGTATGAAAGAAGCAACCTCCTCCACCTACCTACCTGAGAAGCATCGTTTCAAATGCAGGCGGGACTGATGAGGATATCAAAGCGGTTATCGGTAAAGCAAGACAAGCTTTCATTACTCTCAAGTCTGTGTGGAGATCAACATCACTCAGCATGAATATTATAAGATCCGGATTTTCAACTCCAAGGTGGAGTCAATGCTACTTATATATGGATCAGAGACCTGGCGCGGTGTCACGAAGAGCACTTCGAACAAACTAGAGACCTTCATCAACAGCTGTCTCCGCTTAATACCACTCAAGATCGGATGGCGGGCCAGAAAAGACCATGAACAGGGGGATCTGTGGGATCGAACCAACCCAGCTGGAACCGACCGTGCAACAATGTGGAGGAAGAAATGGAGGTGGATTGGCCATACTCTGAGAAAACAAGCCATCAAGTGAGTGACATCACACGCTTGGTTCTCTCGAGTGTGTAACCTAAATGGTAAGCAGTGAATCATTGTAAGATTGACATGGAGGAGGTCATATGAATAGGAGACTAAAGCATGTGAGCAGACGTGGAGTCAGGTGAAAACGTTGGTGGAGAACCAAACGCAATAGAGACGTGTGGCTGAATCCCTATGTTTCTGTAGGAATTAAAGAAAAACAATAATGCAATAATAAACTTCGTTGCCAAATTATGATTGGAATAGGATTTAGCATTTGTTCAGTCAGTTGGATAATTTGATTCACAATCATATATTTATTCCTGAATATATATACCTACTGAATATTTGCGTACTTTAGGGATGATTTAAGTTTATCCTTTGTAACATGCTTGATAAGTCTGTAAGTACATTTCTCCTGTATAAGTTTCCAAGGTATGCTTTGAAAAAAATATTAACGGACGGTGACTCAATTATACCGTCTTCAGATATCGGAATTAATTTTCATGCGGCTTTGTTTAGCTGAGTAACAGCATGTTTGCCACCGCCGATTGTGTTTAGATTGAGTATTAATTTCGGCAATACAACGAAAAACTGTTCCTTTCTCAATTAATTGTGTTTAATTTATATTCTTGAGTTCTTTAAATACCCCCTCTTTCACGATTTCAGTAAGACACAATTATTAGGTAGTAGTTTGCATACCATTAGATTACGGTTGTGGCATAGGTTGAAGCTAATGACACGAATGAACAGTTTATTGGTCACAGAATTCTATCATGAGCTGCGATCGATTAGAGAACCAATGGAAAACCAACAAGGACTACTGGACAGCTTTTTCTTTCTAGTTTGGGGCTCTTCATCATTACGCACCCCCCGAGGTTCGAACCTAGGACTCTTCTGGATGTCCTGACTAGTAGGGTGCAGCAGGTTGGGTGTGAGGACAAATACTCGCCGAAGACATTGGCTAGCGGTTGCGCTACGTCGTGAATCAGCATAGACTGGAATCAATGTGTTGGCCATTGGATTGGGTCCTAGTAGCTTAATGGTATACGAGCCCGCCTTGTAACCAGAAGGCCCTGAGTTCGAACCGTGGTTGTGAGTGCGTATTTCTGAAGATTCCGGGACTAGGAAGAAATAAATGTCCAGTACTCCTAGGTTTTCCAATGCTTCTCTGACCGACGTCGGCTCATAATGAAATCATGTGACCAATCAGTCAAATCCCTAAAATCCAATACTTGAACAGTTTATTTTACAACACCAAACATTTTCTTCCCACTGTTGATTTTAAAATCTCAGCATCAGCGCTTAAGACAGTATCATATGACACTCACTTAGTTGATTGTTGCAAGTGCATCACCAGTTTTTTATCATTACCATCTCCCTCTAATACGAATCCATATGAATAAACGTGTATATTTGATTCTGAAAATTCAAAAAATTGAAGAATATCAGACCATTCTAGGTAATCAGGTAGTCAGCTTAGTAAGCAACTAGAAACTTGATACGAATATCAGAGTGTACGTCAACAAAGATGCCAACAGAAAACCGCAAATACATGCATGAAGTCATCGGGACCATAAGTGAATATATTTCTCCAAAAAAGCAATACGATATTTTGTGAAAGTAAAGGATCATGATAAGTAAATTAATTAATTTTTTTTTCTTTCACGTTCCCCAGTGTAACATAGGGCTTCAAGCTAGTGGCTTAAATTTTCTGTAGCAGTGTTTATTTTACAGGATGAGGTCGCTAGCCTCATGCCCAACCGTTCCTCTTTACCAGCATTATTTCTGGCTCAGGGAGGTAAAGGGATGAGTCGGCCGGGGATCGAACCCCAGACCATGTGCATGGTCAGCGAGCGTCCTAACCGCTATACCACCGACGCACAATCAATATTTCAGGAGCTCACAACTATTGAAATTTCTCATGATGATGTTATTCTAAAGAAAATAACAAGTCTTACGATAATCGTAGCTTCTATAGAGTGATAATGATGGAACCATTCATAAGGCGAATGAGTAAACTATCAACATTCTAAAAAAACGATGCTCTTGAGTATTTTCAACTTCACCCTTCTTCTTCTTCAGTGCACAGAAATCTTGAATATCATTTATATGAGTTTCAATACACTACAGATAAACTTTTATAACTAGCAGTCTTATTCCGAAAGCAACTCAGTATTGAAAAGTGTTATAATTTAATCAACAGTCAAAGCCTTTTATAACTTTATTTCCTACAATAGGCTGCCACAATCCACTTGTTTTAAATTTTATAGGTTATTGCCACGAGCATCAGTCTGCCCGGAAAATTGTGTCAGCGTGTATTGCTACCAATCAGATTCACTATATTCCCAGTTTTTATACAGCTGTCACTTATTTCCTTGATTTGTGACAGTTTTTTTTGTTTTTAAAGATTTTTCAATACTGTTGAATACGTAGTTTAATGATTAATTACTTCTTTTTCAGTTGGTGCATTATACTATGGAAAATTCAGACTGTGGTTTAGGTATTGGAATCGAAAGTATTGTACAAGATGAAGAATTAATTGATGGAAATCAGTATCATCATTACATAGTAGAAATAAATTCAGAAGGACCGATTGGTCGAGATGGAACATTGTCAGTTGGAGATGAAATATTAGAAGTGGGTTTACGTTCACACTTTAATATCGTTTACTGAGAATGATGGAATTATTTTTCATATTATGGGATATATTAATTACCTTTTTTGAAACCACTAATGATCATTTTTCTGTGTAAATGTCTGAGACAAATGTGAAAGACTTCATTATGTCTAACTCACGCAAATGTGTTGAATCTGCTTACTGATTCCACAGTTTGAGCAGACTTGGAGACTTTGTATATATATACATAACTCCTTTACGTATCTCGTGAAATGCAGGGTTTCATGCTTTGAAGTTTAAGTAACAGCGGACTTGCTTATTTGGGATGGGACTGCTAGTCTCAAGCTCAACCTCCTCTTTTTACTGGATTTACCACCAGCTAAGTGAGGTCTAAGAGTGAGTCAGCCGAGATTTGAACCACGGATCACGTGTATGGTTGGCAAAGATTTTACTGCTGAACCACCGACGCAATGAAACCTCCGCAGAATTACTATGATAATATCGTGAAGAATATTATTATTCATGAGGCATTGCATATTTTAGAGAGGAAGCCTTCAACCTGGCGCTGTAATGTTGAACAAAGAAAAAATGTATGAATGAAGGCGATAATCACACAAATTATAAAGAGGCGAAAAGTAAAATTCCAATGATAACAAATCTACTTTCAATTCATCTGTATGAATTACATCAATAGAACCAATTTGTACTTCTACAGACAATTTCTTTTCATCACTTTCAGTAATTTAAATCTGTTCGGGATATAGAGGTGATATGCAGCCTTCCAAAGAACACTATTATTTCACATTCAAAAAAGTTAATTGCTCGGATTCAACAAAGTTTTTATAAAAAAAAGCATGCTTTTTCAATGTATCAACCTACATTTAATACAAATGTGTTGACAGGCCTTTAACTGGTCTTATAGAGAATAGTATTCTGTGACAGATTTTGACTTAGTATAAAGTTCCAGTAATTCTGACTCTGATAAATAAATACTTGAATGAATTTGAAAAAATTTCGTATAAGTGTCATTGTCATCACACTATTACCAGATTTATTTTCACAAAAGCCTAAACTAAGACTTACTAATAGTAGAAACACTGTGCTGTATGTACTTGAGCCTTGTAGAAGCTTTTGTGCTTCAATCTACTTGTTAGTCAGTACTATGTGCTACCCGACTACTGTTCAGTAATGCTATCCTGTGAATAATATATATATATAATGTTAACGGTCTTATTTTAAAATTAATAAGATACATGAGTATAAATCTACTAGTGTTATGATAATATTATGAAATAGTTCATTTTTATTGGTACAACCTATACTGGTGTCATTCCCGATTAGATATTTGACTATATAAAAGGAGAGAGGTTACAAAGTAGATTGTATTCAACAAGTGATTGTAAAAACATATATATATATATTGTTGTGATTCAAATTCGCAGTTTGTGATCAAAAGCTGATGGATATTTTATAAAATAATAAACGATTGGATATATTTGTTATTGTTGTTTGGTTCTCTCCGGTTGACAGAATTCTTAATATTCTTCTAAGCAAAACAACACACGATATTTAGATAACTTCATAGCACACTGTATGATCTTCTAGTGCTAGTGTGCTTGTTTTATGCCTTTTCAGGTCAATAAAATTGTTTGTCTTAACAAGGATCATTTAGAACTTGCTCGCATTTTTCACACCACTCCAACAAAAGGATTTTTAGTGTGTGCACGATTTCCAAATGAAACTTATTCAGGAGATATAAAAACTGAAAGTGGAAGTGATGAAATGATTGTCACCAACGCTATTCCCTTCAATCATTCTTTGAGTGATGGTGAAGTGCCTTCAGTTGACTTTGAGGAACAGATTTTCGATAAACATTCGTCTAATGGATTGTATTCAGAAAGCAAAGAAAATTCAATGCATGAAATAATTAACGTAAATGAAACTGATCAAAATTATAGTTCTGATATAGACGATAGTCAACAACCAATAAGACTGCTGACGATTACAAGCACTGGTCTGAATACTTCAAGTTTGAAAACTGCCTTTCAAGTGGAACAAATAAAATTGGATGATGATGATGATGATAAGGTAAGTTGTAGTGGTTAATTCTATGCATAGTTGAAAAGTCATTCCATCAGGAGCTTTCTATTTTTCTCAATAACTCCAAAAACCATCGAAAGAAAATGCTCTGATTCTTCATTACATAGTTATTCAACCACGAAAAGATAAATGGATAAAAAGACTAACTTTGAATGTTACGCCTTTCCCAATCGATCTGTCACCAGATACACATGCATTGACAATTGAAAATAAACACAATTTTTCTACGCCTCACTTTCATTCACTATCATTTATGAATCAATCTAAATGGTAGTATGTTTAGTAGATAAACTTTTATAAATGTTAACGGAAACGTTTGCATGCCTTCATGCATAATTCCGTATCAGTTTGTTTATTAGATACATACTATACACGGAAATAATATTGTTTACTCATAACTTGGACTGATATACTTTTATATAAAGCTGTTCAGTGTTCTACTGTTTTACTGTGTGATAAATCTAATGAGCAAGTTAGCATCTAAATAGACAGTACAATTGTGCCCAAGTTTTAGACATTTTCATGCTGTGATTTGAAGCAGCTGTCTAAAATAAAAGACAACAAAACATAGTGATAACCAGTGACACAAATACGTTTGGCAGTAAGAACAAAGAAACATAAGTGAACATATATATGAAGTTATGAAAACGAAATAGAATGGCTAAATATTCATCGTTGAGCTGTATCATCAAGACTTCTCTCAAATATGGAATACTGCCATCTTATGACTCCAGATGATAAGCAATTTAGAGCCTCTGCATTTAGTCGTATACAATAATCAAAGACCTAATGGTTTGATGTTATGTTTTATTCTGACTGTCAGTAACGTTATGCCAACTTAATTCCACTTTTCACCAACACTAATTAACAAAAGCTTTGGTAAACTTCTCGTCTTAGTCATTATTTGTGCCATAGACAGACGATTCAGCTCACTACACACTTTCTGTGGCTGTTTCATGTCTGCTGTTTCCATTGGTATAATACGCAATGCACGACTCAGTCTTCACAGACGTTAAACAAACTTCTTTTTCTACAGTGCTTTACAATTTATCTGATTATCTTTGAAACTGTTTCCGGTAATTCATATAAGCAGCTATACTTTATTTGTAATTCAGTAATATTGGTAAATACATCGCTAAAATAAGGTATACTATTCCCATTCATTCACATATTGTAAACAGAAGAGAACACAAAATATCTATACAATAACTATTTCTCTTTACGTTGCAGATACCTGAAAGCCCTATAGTAGAATCAGCTGTAAATGAGACGAATTCAGAGGAGCAAATATCTACTGAATGTGTTACAACCAATTCATTCCCACGTCTTCCTATGGCAGAAAAGGTAGCAAACTTTACAAGAAAAAAATCCAACAAGAAATTCACATCTCGTCATTCCTGTGAAATTCCTCAAAGTACAAAGGATCACTCAGATAATGGTATCCAGTTAAATGACATAATAAATCAAGATGAGATAGTATCAGTAAAAGTTATGAAAAAGGCAGGGGAAATACTTGGTAAGGTTTTTCAAATATACTTAGGAATCTTTTATTTACTAATTAGTTTTAAAGAATTACTAATACCGGTCGTGGAATATACACTTTAAATCCCTATATACAAACATTCCTACAGTCTAATACATATTTTTAATTATTTTTTTTATACTCAAAGGTTTGGAACTTGAGATGGAAAATGGCGATGAAAGAGGTATACCACTGGCGTACATTACACCTGGAAGTCCAGTCGACCGTCTGAAGTGTCACAATAAGAATAAGTCAACAGAATATTTGGGAACCGACTCCTACTACTCCAATCAATCAGAAGCTTCGTCTGATGATATTCAATACACCCGTGTGCCAATCCCAGGAGATCATATTCTAAGTGTATCCGACTATAGTTTTCAGCATATATCTGCTTTCACAGCTTTAAGACTTTTACGGAAACTTATATCATATTCTGGCTTTATAAAGTGAGTTATTAACCGAAAATATAGTCTTTTTTTAGGGTAAATAAAAAGGCCTGACTGCTTGATAATTGAGGAATTATGATAATTTTAAAACTGCTTGGTATCATAATGCCTTATTTCAAATAAATATATATGAAGTGCTTTTCAATTTATCTGAATAAAAGTTGAAATGGTTAGTTACATTTTAATCCCCGTTACTCCGTATTAAAACGACGTATCATTCCAAAGCTACATGCTACAGTTTGCTTTATAGATTACTTATAGTTTCTTTAAAATATTAACAGTATGGTTATTAATACGCATTTCTGTATAAAGAAACTGCTTAGCATTCATAAAGGATGATTAATTACTCTTCCTTATTTTATAATGTCTGAAGTCTGTTATAGATGGTTGGAAGTAATAGACAGGAAGCCTTGGACCCCAGGTTTCGTGCTCGTTAGTACACATCAGCAAAGTGTACCTGCAATCTTAGAGGAATTCATGTCTTTCCTAGGATTTGAACCAAACGTGGAACTAGACTCATGACGTTAGTTATTTCCTGGTGTCCGATGAAAGTATGCATAACATTACCACAGTAGGTCATTAGTGAGTCCGAATATCTCTTTGATAACGTCTCTCTCTCTCTCTCTGGTTGCAGCACTAAGTAACCCAGATTCGAATCTCAGAAGGGAAATCAGTACCTTCAGAATTGCAGATACGCTCTCGTGACGACTGCCAAGGGGCATGAAACTTAGTTTCAAGGCCTCCTACCAATTGTCTCCAACTATCTAACAATAACTCAAAGTTGATTGTGATAATGAAACACCTAGAAAGGTGCCCAGATTGTAAACTTGACTGGTAGAATTCAGTTTGCGCTAAACGCAGTACCAGTAGTATGATGCTAGTTTCCGATGAAATTAATATATTTGGCTTTATTGCATGGCCAATAACAGTTCTACTTTTGTGTATTACTTTCATTCCTGAAAAAGAATATCTTTGTGTCAGCCGCCTACACTGATTCAAGACGTTCAATATTATGTTAAATCGAGTTTTAGATAGACAATATGAATATCATGACAACTACCAACTATTTCTACCTATAGTCGACATACAGTCGTATTGAGATAAAATAAAATTTGAAATTATTCTTTCTTCATTTATATGGTAACGATAACTCTTCGCTGATATTATTATAATTAGGTGACTGTATTAAGTAGTCGACAATCATTATAATCAAAAGACAGTTAAAATTATGTAATGAATCACTTTGAAATTATTAATCATGAATTTTGACTGTCTATCAACTTCTAGCTTCAAATTTTTTTTATAAATTATAATTCCACCTTCCATTTATACTCTTACAACTTACTATTCCTCATAGTTCTATGTTATCTGACTGTAACCGCAGAAATGCATATATATATATATATATGTATATATATATATATATAAGAAATGAAGACTGAGGATTTCGACTTTCAGAAAAGGTAAAGAATATGGAAGTCTCAGGATTTCATCATCCACTAGAAAACCTGCAGGGAGTACAGAACAGCCGCTTCGTTCCAGTTTGGGACTTTTAGTAGTACATACCCACCAGCAGGGTTCGAACCCATGACCTTCTGATTACAAGGCCAGTGAGCTTGTAGACCAACCATTAAGCCACTGGGACCTGATCCAGTGGAAGTTATTAGAAATGACGGAGAGTTTATTATTTATTATTGTATGAGCAACAAGTGTTTATTGTACTAACCACTGAAACGACAATTTTCTAAGCCTTTGAGGTAAATACACAGCGGGTACAGAGAATGAAGAGTTACATACAAGACTATTTAAACTATCGATAATGAAACTTTTAATGTATGACTATGAAACCATTGAAATTACAACCTTGGGATATGTCATGTGTCGACAATGAAGAAAAGATTATAAAGTCATCATTTTGTTTTTTAGAAAGGCATCAGGAAAAAATAATCTTGATTCATAAATCGGAGAGGTTTATCAAGTGTATGAGGGATTGATTCCAGCTGAAATAAAATAATTGAGAATTTGAGGTTACATTCTGAGCATATACCTTCTCCAATTCTTCTATTAATTCTGAAAATTCCATTTCGTCAAATCCACTCCTACTTCATTCTTCGGTTACCGAAATTAGTATAAAAATGCATAACTCGTGTTAAAGGAGTGCTTCATTTCCTTGCTTTACGTTCCGAGTGAAACATAGAGCTTCAGACTTGACATATGAAGTTCCATTAGTGGTAGCATCCATTTTACCGGGTAAGTCTGCTGGTCTGACGTCAGATCTTCCCTCGTCTTAGCAAAGGTTTAAAAGTGCGTCCACCGGGAATCGAAACCGAACCATATGCTTGGTTGACGAGCATTCTTTTCTCTAGGTCACCGATGCAAAAGTAGAGTAATTAGGTTCCCGATTTTCGAAATGTACAAGTCGAAAGTCAGTTTGGTTAAATGCTATACAAATGAGGTATGTATGCTTAAGTGTGACGATTGACAATACTGTTAGTTGACTACTATTTTCTCTTTTTATACTGCATTGTGCTTATGGTTATATTTCTCATAAGACTTTAGAAGAGAAATCTGTAAGAGTAAAGTGATTTAATAAACCTATGTTTATGTCATCTTTACCTAATAAAGAGAAAGTTTAATCACAGATTTACAAAATTTGAATCGGCCTACTTGCTTAATAGCATCACTTAATTATAGCATTGTGAAAGAAGTAATATACTTCTTTTAATTGTAATTGTATAACATGTTCAGTTAATATTAGTACACTGACTGTTGAAACCCACAGATTATTTGTTTCGCCCTTTCTCTTCCTCTTCCTCATTTTATATCTCTTACTTCTTTTTTCTTTTCACTTCACTCCTATTATGTTTGTAAGAGCACACAATTCAATATCCGATTGTAGTTAATGATAAGGCAATGTGTTTATGTGCGTAACTAAGCAAAACGTTTATGATTCTGTAGAATGGTTGATTAAATTTCTCTGCTTACATCCTCTTTTATTTTGCTTCTCTGCCCATCTTCACTTCATTTAATTAGGAAATCTTGCTAATAAAGGCTATTTTCCAATAACAACAACAAGAACAGCAAAAAAAAGTTAGTATATTTGCTGGTCAATAAAATTCTCTTTCGCTTTATTGTAGTAATGACTGTTTCAATGACAATTAATAATTTCTAATAGGCATATAACAGGAAAAAGAAAAGCTTCTGCTACACTTCGAAAGTGAAATAAATCTAGTATATATATATATATATATATATATATATATATATATATACACGGGGAAAAAGTTATTTCCATTTCTGTATAGCAGACGAAGAGTGAAAGTAAACTGATTTATGCGGAAATTGGATGATTTGATTTTTTTTTTGGGTAATGTTCTACAAAGTCATATGATAGATAAGCTACTGTCATTAATGATCAGTACTCGTCACGCTACTAAATTTTAATTGATCACTTCTTAATGACAAATTAGTTCATTAATCTTATTTGTATCATAATTTTTTTTTTTAAGTTGTATTGAATCAATTCATAATGTTTCCAGTTACTTATTGGCAGTGTTTATTTATAACTTCTGAAAGAGTGTTACTTTTTGCTATGAAGTTAGTGTAATTAGAAAGTGATTCAGTTGTAGAAATGCAGTTAAACGTAAGGAGAATATTTTCAAGTATTGGTTTCGCAGGGATTTCCTTTAATTGATTGGTTGCAGAATTTCATAATGGGCTGACATCAGTTAGACAGGCTATTGGAAAATCTGCAGGGAGTACTGGACAGTTGTTTCTTCCAGTTCTGGGCTCTTCAGAAATACGCACTCACCATCAGAGTTCAAACTCAGGACCTTCTGGTTACAAGGGAAGCTGGCTCGTAGACCATTAAGCCACTGGAAGCCGATCCGATGGCCAGCCTATAAATTTCTAAATTCTGCCAATTCATGACACATCACGACCAATCCACAATGTCTTCTTCGATGAGTTACTGCCTCACCTTCAACCTGCAATACCCTAGTGGTCATAGCTTTGCACTAGAACCCCAGGTTAACTTTCAGCGGATGTTAGATTTCATTTATTGACATTCAGTTATTTTTCCTGTAACCTTCACAAACTTATTCATATGTTGCAAAATTATACCAAAAACCTTAGTCTGTCAAAAGGAGATTTTTCCATTAAAAAAATCAAGTCGAAAATATTAAATACTGTCATCTCATACTACTGTCTAACAAGATCTGATCCAAAAGTTTAAATTTTTTCACTAAAAAGATACTCTATTTTGCATTAGTTCCATTCACTGGAATCAACTGGTCAAATCGCAGTGACCTAGCCTAATTTGGTCTAAGTAGTCGACTTTAAAATGAAGGTCGCCTGATTCCAATTCTACTCCAACTATCCCAACTGGATAGTGTAGTCAATTATCAAAAAATATTTGTGGTTAGTGGCCTGCCTCATATAAAATCCATTCTGAATAACTAATTCCCAAATAAAGAAAATACTCTCCGAAACAGCTACCGTTCGTAAATGTGATTTGTACAGTTTTACTGAATAATAATAATAATAATAAAACACCTCCGGGAATTCTTTTTGCAAGCTTATTAGCATTCTTATATCCTTCCTATATTTTTACTGTGTATAATTTTGTCAGTAATATGAATAAAGATATCCAAAGTTTATGTAACAAAGTAGAGGAATTTCCGATAGTTAACTTAGGTGATAAAAAGAGAGTACTCTGAATTTCTAGTTATATATTAAAAACAGTTACGTAATTAATCTTTCTAGTATTCCTTGTGTTATATATTGTTCAGTATGCTTACGTATTTCCCAAAAATAAGACTGAAGAAGCTACTTTTTTATTCACACATTTTTCGTCGACTTGTTGACTAATTAGTATCACTGTTTTTATTCCCTTGGGTTCTGAGTAAAACTTACGGGGCTTCAACAGTATATCTCCGTTTCACCCTGTTCTCTGCAGTTCTCACTGACTAATAGCCACTAAAATACGTGCAGTAAGTAGGGATATTAGTTTGATATCATGTTTAGTTTTAGGCCTAGATGGCATCCATAATGTAGTATAAAGTAAGGTCTATACTACTAATAGTATCCGATTCTAGATAAATGACCATATTCCACTAGAATCTGGAAAACAACTATTTAGTTCTCCTTTAATACATCAAACTCTTTTATTAAGGCATCAGTCGTAACAAGTTCATGTCTGAAAAGCCTTCCAAAGCATTGATATGTATTCAGTGTACACATAGGTGTGTAAGCCTAAAAAGGCTTGGAGTCTTCTGTTAAAACTTCTCTTTCAAACATATATCCAAACATTGTTTCAAATTCATTTTAAAATTACTTTGTTTTGTTACCAGCTAAAAGTTCATTCGATGAAGGTAAAACGAACAACATAACCCGTCTTCAAAACGTTTCCTCTAAAGTAACTAGTCATGCCTATTAAAACATACTTGCATCATAGGTGGAAATAAATAAAGATGGTTGAAATACTTATGAATAATAATTATTATTATTATCATATTCCCTTCATGCTATCCATGTCCTATGCACTATAACGAAATAACTAAGTGATTTTTCCAACAAGCCCTGAAGTCGCATCGTTCTATAAACTTAAATACCATTTTTAACCGCCTCCTATTGTAGACATATGAAGGTGAATCAAGTATTCTAATGTTGTTTTACAAGGGGTATTCATTAGCACCGAAACCAAAAATGTAGTAGAAAAGGAGTTCAAAATATATTTTCGACAGATATAGCTGTATCCCACCGAGATCAAAACTCAGAATGAAGCTGACTGAGATCCAAAACCAAAATCAAAAGTTTGAATTCATAAATGTTGGAAATTCTGTTTGAAACCGAAGCTTAATCTCCTTCACACACACACACACACACAAGAACTTACTGTGCGTCGGTGGCACAGTGGTTAGGACTCTCGCCGACCATGCACATGGTCCGGGGTTCGAGCCCACGCCGACGCACACCTGATATCTATGGTAGGCCTGCGAAATTTGGGCTACTGATATCCATGCTGAAAATTCCACACTTGTACCAAAAATACGGTGTGGAATCAAGCTGTAATCAAAAATAAAAAAAATAAAAAAAATACTAAATTCTTTATAAGCGTTTGTTTAACCAGACTGAAAACATTTTAGCTGCTGAAGAACATTACATTTAAACCATTAAGATTATTTATAATTTTTTTTTGATTTCATATTTCTGATGAAAAGAAACCGCTTTATATACAATAAGGAAACCCGGGCCATTCAACCACTAACAAGATCTCGTTAAATGAAAATATTCAAAACTAATCTATTTCTTGTGGTATTCAGAAAAGAGTTCATTTTCTTTTCTATTTTTCTTTTTTCATAGTATCTAAATAGTAGTCTGACAGTAATTTGTCACCTTTGTTATCTTTTTTTTTATCAATATCTGTGGGTGTGGTTGAATAAACACTGTCTTCTAACACGTATTTATATCCAGAATTCTTCCTAGTGGGTGTTTCAGGTATTAACTACTTTTATTTTAATACTTTATAAATTCGGATTATACACAGATTTAGTAGGAATGATTATAGTAACATAAATAATATCTGAAATAGAATTTACCCCCTACATATCAGCTATGCGAAATGTACAGGTGTATTAATAGAGTAATTCGATCACTGTTCTTGACCTTATTAATATACACATGTTTATATATATATATATATATATATATATATATATATATATGTATATATATTGCAGCGCTTTTTATTCAGTCGTATTCAAAATATATTGCATAAACTTCATATCTGCATCGTCACTATTATTCACCAGACTCTTACTTACTTTTCATAATAAACTCACCTAACAGATACCAATCCATTGACAATATTTCTAATTTATTATTGCAAAAATTTCCAAATATTTATGAATTTAAAGGGACAAGGAAAAGATTTAATTATGTCCATTTTAAAAAGTAATACAGTAGAAGAATGGAAATGTATGAAATATTGAGGGTGTATATGTATACCATATTCTTTTATTCTCTTCTCGATGAAGTGAGTTCCTTATATGCTTGCTTATATTATAAAGTGTTAACCTGGCTGACAGTCGATTTTTGGCATCCCTTTTTTTACCCACAAAATAGTGTTTCATCACAGAAATTGGTTTGTAGATTAAAGTAGTTTATTCTGAATACGAATGTTCTGTTTAAAAAAAAGATCTGATGTGCTTAAGGTTTGCATCAAATAATTAACAGTTAAATGCAAATCATTTTGGATAGAAAAGTTGTTAAGAATGGCGATTGTTTTTTTTTATTTATCGGAATATGATGAAATTACGGGTAAAGAGTGATAATTGAAGGTGAAGTGGAAATCTGAGTCACGGTAGAATTCAAACCAGCCTAGCGTTAAGTAGGTCATTATTTTATTCTTGTCATAATAACCTATGCACAGATATTGTGCGTAAATAAGTGAAATGCTATCAAAATAGGAATGGTAGGCAATAAGGAACCGTCTATATAATGGGAGAACTACTTAAGAAAAATGAAGTAGGATATAGCCATGTACACATTGATAAATTAAAATCACCAAACAATACGGGTCTAAACTCCTTTTATTTGCATTCAAGTCTCAGGTTTTGTAATTACAAAGCTGAATCACTGGGAGTAAATACACAGCGAACATGCACTGATTTTAGTAGCTTATTTTTTGCTTTGTAAATTGCCTTGAAGGAAGAGCTTGTTGAGATTGAATAACTAGTATCAGCAAGATGTACTCTTATCATTCTTTTATAAATGCACACCCCCCCCAGATTTCCTAAACATGTAAGATAGTATTCTCGAAGTTTTTCGGACAGGATCTACATTGAATGACTAGTCTGTATTCAAAAATTCGAGTTAGACAATTCACCCACATGGAGGTGACCAAATGATACAACTTTTCTTTCGAGTTGTTAAACAACAATGGCCAATTAGAGAATATTACTGTTTACGTTACTGCGGAGAATGCTGCTTTTATGAACTTTAAGATTCCGATGTCAGGGGTTTTCTCAGTAGTGAACACAAAATAGACCACATTTCGAAAGTGTTTACTCAATATTTTCGCCTTTGAATCCAGTTGGATATACGTTTTAGCTCAGGGCTGAAGAGGCTGGTGTCTTATTGAATTGAATTTTTGATTTTCCCGTCGATTGATTGGACCGAAGTGCTCGGGAAAATCAAAAATTCAATTCAATAATTAATATGACCCGTTGCACAAGAGGTGGCTCTTGTGGCCCAAGTGGTCTAGTGGATAACGCTTTGGCGTTTGAAACTATGGGTACTGGGTTCGAGCCTCGGTGGGAACATCATCACTCACTGAGAAATGCAGGTACATCCAGCTGACGAGTCCCAAATAGGACGAAATGCGCATCCTGGATTCCACTGCTAGCCACCATTCACCAATTGTAGGCTGGTGTCTTCTTAGAAAAATATCTGGACACCATATACCCTGAATAAGAGTGGTAATGAAGACTTGTTTAGGTAACCTATAATTCTGAAATGTGCAAAGTTGTTCTTTGAAACATTTTCTGATAAGTGAGTGATAGAAAATTATTCTGCTTCCTTACGGCAAGAAATTATTTTTATGACTAAAGCATATTTTTAGTAATGAACTAAATGCTTCAGATTGGTTTCATTTCTTTAAAAGCCTTCTCATCTTGTTTTCCTCCAATAGGATCAACTTTATTCCACAAGAAGTTTCTGGGTGTATTCAGGAAGCCAGATACAGTCGACATTCGAACTTGTTTCAATCAGAGGTTAAACTGAATACTTTTGAAAATTATACACCGTAATTTACACAATCAATAATTTCTTAATTTAACTCACATTTATTCCTAGTTTTTGACTGTATTAAATTTTTTTTTAAAAATTGTCATTTATAAAATGAAAACGAGCACTTCATACTGTACAGACAAACAACAATCTTCTTATCCTATTTTACTACCTAAACCACTTTCATCACATAAAAGACCTTTATTTGACCATGTAAAAACTGGAAAATATAATATGCAGAATTGGAATTACCAGTTGTTAGGTGCACAAATCGGTGCTCAGGCAGCTGACTATGCTGCTGCTAGATATAATCATACGACAGAGGCGCTTTCATTGAACGAAAGTGAGCCGAATGCCTATTCTGAATCTTCGCTTCGTCCTTCTTTTGCAGCGGTATCAAAATCAAATTTATTTATTTACAGTGGAATAACAACACTTAAAATAAACCCATCATTACATACTGTCAGGTCAGTCGGTGTTTTACCTCCATGTGTGTGTTATTCCCCCTCCCCCCGGGTTTCATCATTTTTTTTTTAAATCCAATCTATGAATAGATTCTGAATATTTTTATTTATTTATTTATGTTTTGTATATGCGCGTTCTGTTTATTTAAATTTATCTTTAAATCTGCCTAATGCAATTGATGTGTTTCCCTAAATTACGTGATTTTGTAGACGAAAAATACAAATCCAAAATTATTCTCTCAGTTTTAATTTTGATCCGGATAGCGCTATCAAACAGTCAGTCAGTCAAACGCATGGAAATGCAGTGTGTGCGTATGCGTTTTAATATACTGTACAAAAATAGATTTGTGCGTGGTGATTCTAGGAAAACAAAAGCAAACAAAACAACCAGTTTACTGATCTTTATTTTGCTTCCTGAAATGTTTATAAACAAACTGATTTCTCAGATACTCAGGTACACAATTAATAATCTATGAAGAAACAAAATTTTAGTTATAAAATTTCCATTCTTCTGCTGGAGCAAGTACTGAAGCGAACAGTAAAACAGTGCCATAAGGATAAAACTCGGGCACTCTGGTGGTAGAGTATAATTCCATTATGCATAAAACTTCATTTTGATTTAATCACGCAGTGTTTGTTATACGGTAAGTAATATTTACTGATGACCACGTTTCGAGCACAAATTGTTCATAATCATATCAAGTCATTCATATAACTTTCTTGCTTCATTTATATACATGAGTAAAAGCTGATGATTAGACATTTGAATAAAATCAAATATAAGATAAATTACATTCGGAAATAATATTAGTGTTATCAATAAAATGCAATCAGATGAAAAATAAGATATTTTTCTAGCAAAATAAATAGCTTGTTAGAATGTGAATTGATTACATTTTAACATTATCTACTATCCTCTGACTTGACTGGTAATAATATCTTCCATATCTCTGGTGTTTGCGTTGAGTCACTTCTTTTGCATGTGCTGGCTGTAGATTCGATAAACCAAGCAGGATTCAAGAATCAATCTCTCTCTCTCTCTCCACTTACCTATATTACTTTTTAGAATTTGACTCTGTCCCACCCACCCTATTGTGCGGTTTTGTGTTAATGCATGCAGTGAGATTGCTGCGTTTTTTTTCTTAATTACTTATCTTCGTGGGATTAATCATTCTAACCCTAGCTAAATTCTTATTTTCTGATGATCTCACTACTCCTGATCTCCTGGTCTGATCTATATAGTTGACCTAACTCACAATTATTGCAACGTATTTTGTAAATTATATTATTTTGTTTAATTGGTTGTTTAATTGGTGCTTGTCTGTCTCCGAGTGAGTGTGTAGGTTTGAATGCCACCATAATTCCTGCTTTATTGAGAATCCTACGTAGGTCTATAGATGTCCGCTCCTTATATGGTAAAACTGTAAATGTCTTATATTCCTTCTTATTTATGTTATCGTTATTAATTTCACCATTATTTTTATTTTGCTTTTGGCCTTTCTTGATATTCTTTATGAACTTCATGAGATAGTTATTTAACACCAACGCTTCTTCTGTCTGATTTCATCGTTTAGGTTTTTTGTTGTCCTACTTAGTGCTGTTGATCGGTCTGTTAGACATTTAACTAAGCCTGCCTTACAGATAACGGATGAGATGAATATGCTTTATCTTATATTTGATTTTATTCAAATGTCTAATCATCAGCTTTTACTCATGTATATAAATGAAGCAAGAAAGTTGTTTGAGTGTCTTGATATGATTATGAGCAATAAATTATGTTCGAAACGTGTTCATCAGTAAATATTACTTACTGTATAACAAACACTGTGTGATTTTTACCTGGCGCCGGGTTCAGGGTGATCAAGAATGCTCTGACCCCGGGTGGAGGCTCACCATTTATGTGCGTCGGTGGCACAGTGGTTAGGACTCTCGCCGACCATGCACATGGTCCGGGGTTCGAGCCCACGCCGACGCACACCTGATATCTATGGTCGGCCTGCGAATTTTGGGCTACCGATATCCATGCTGAAAATTCCACGCTTGTACCAAAAATACAGTATGGAATCAAGCTGTAATCAAAAATAAAAAATAATAATAAATAAAATTTTATCCATAATGGAGAGAAAAGTCACGACTAACTCTTCATGTATTAATAAAAAATCATAAATTTATTTGCTAAATGCCGGAGAAATCTTAAAATAAAGATTTATAACTTTTTCAGACGATATCCTTATATCAGGGCGTTTCCAGAGGTCCTTCTGTATATTTCAATGCATGAAAATCAACTTCAGTTCAAAAAATACTTTTTAAAAATGATTACTTTGTTGAAGATGATTATTCATTATGTGAGATTTTATTGGGTTTGTATTCTTCTCTCAATTACAGAAATTGCTTAGCTAATTACAGCAAAACAGTGTTGAATAAGTCCACTAAATTCCGTCATCATTTGAACATGAAGAATTTGTATTTTTGTCTTGTGGTCGTTCACAACACAATGTTCTAATCATATCTAAATATGCCATCATAATGAGTAGATGGGGAGTATGAATCTTAGAAACTGCTTCACTCGGATCTAATACCTGAGGCATTCCTAGTTTAGAGGAAACATGAAATGCCAAACGACATCTTTGAAAAGGATTATCCGGAGACAGTGTATCATTGTGAGTTTGATCTGAATAAAAATTATGTTAGATAGTACAGAAGGCTAGACGTTCTGATATGATGCAGTAAGATCAGTGATCTGCATTTTGTCATAAAGCTTGGTTACTTGTTAACAATATATAAGTAAATCATACTGACTGAACTGATGCAGCCTTTAATTAGGGTAAATTAGTCTGTGTTTGTGCGTTGGTGGTCTGGGGGTAGAATGACCACTAACCACTCAGGTGGTTCAGGGTTCGATTCCGGGCCAGCTCACTCCTGAGCCTCACCTAGCAGTTAGTAAGCCTGGAAGAGATGGAAGATATGGTGGGGGCAGCAACCCCACTCTGTAAAAACGGCTCAAGGGCTACTGAAACTTCCGAAATCAAGCTTAAAGCTATATTTGAGTAGCTTGGAAATCCCCATTTAGTCATATGAAAAAGAGAAGACGTTCAGCAAAGAGACTCTTTTCGGCGAATTCATTCATATAGCTGTACAATCGCATTTATATACAATTACTTTTGTGTGTGTGTGTACATGAGGTTTGTCAAGTTTAGATAATTGATCAGGTTATAAAAGAATGATCTAATATAGAAACAAGGTTAATTGGACAGCAACTAAAGCAAAATTGAGTAAGTAAGTTAGATAACGTAATATAATTGACTAAAATGTTTCAACTTTGGACAGGGTAGCAACAGAGGTAATTACAGGTAGAGACTAAGTAGAAGTGGGGTAGATAATAATGTCATTTAAATTAGAACTGAAATTTAGCGTTGGTCAAGTCAGTAACAGTGGTAGTGAGCTATAGAAATTAAATCAGGTGGGGGTAGAGAACAAGAAAGTTGAAAATGAAAAATATTACAATTAAGAAGATAGAATAATACCAATGAAGAGACAGAAAAAAGGATCAGGCAGAATTTACTTTTCAGGTAATAAGATAGATTACGTCCATTGCAAGTGTAGTGATTGAACGAACTTCTTCTGTATGCAGAGTTCAGGGCTTAGCAAGTGAATCGCCATTGCTTCTGCAGTTTGAAGAAGTCTGATTCGTACACCTTTAAGAAGACTACTTCTTACTCTGTAGACTACTTTGAAGTTTGTTTGGGTTGCAGCTTGGTGTCCGGATTCTATCAGATGTTCTAAGATGGAGCTGTGGGGACATCGATTTTCTCCTTTGTAAAACCATGTTGGTAAGTGTTTGGTGATACTCTTGGAAAGCGAACGCTAGGTACGGCAGGTATCGATCATTTGTCGGCCGCACCCAGCGTTCGCTTTCCAAGAGTATCACCGAACACTTACCAACATGGTTTTACAAAGGAGAAAAACGATGTCCCCACAGCTCCATCTTAGAACATCTGATAGAATCCGGACACCAAGCTAAACCGCAAACAAACTTCAAAGTAGTCTACAGAGTAAGAAGTAGTCTTCTTAAAGGTGTACGAATCAGACTTCTTCAAACTGCAGAAGCAATGGCGATTCACTTGCTAAGTCCTGAACTCCGCATACAGAAGAAGTTCGTTCAATCACTACACTTGCAATGGACGTAATCTATCTTATTACCCGACGAGTAAATTCTACCTAACCTTTTTTTGTCTGAGTCTTCATTAGTATTGTTTTGTCTTCTCATTGGTAATATTTTGCAATTCATTAGGAATTATATTTTCATCAGAGACATCGCCTTCCTTTTCAGCAATTGATTTAATGTAAGTAGGAAAATTGCAGATGTTAACGTCTTAGAAGATAGGTGCATAACCAGTATGAGACTCGCCTGAATAAGTGAGCCTGAGGCGAATTCGACCACGTGCAGCTAGTACACGTGGTCTAGCCGACGTTGTGGGAAAATTCCTTAAACAAGCAAATGTCTAAGAAGAATAGAAGTTGGAGTAAATTAATAAGAATTGGTTAAGATTTTCACCATTTTGCCTTCTCCCACTCAATATTGTAAAAAGTAGGATTGAAGAAGCAAGACAGAATTTCATTAATCTGAAATCAGTGTGAAAATCGAATGCAATCGGCACAGGGAACAAGATTCGGATTTTGAACATTAGTGTCAAGCTAGTTAATTACTCTTTATGGGTAAGAAACTTGGCGTGTGCGTCACGAAAAGGATTTCCAGCAGGCTTCACAGTCTCATCAATAGCTGCCTTTGCTTCGTACTGAATATCAGCTGGCCTGAAAAGTCTAGCAATAAGGAACTTAGCAAACGAGCCAACCAAGTATCTACCGCTCAACAAATTTGCAGGAGAAAATGTAGATGGATCGGACATATGCTGAGGGGAACGTTCAGTGACATGATGCACCACGCTCTTGAGTGTAATCCGAATGGGAAACGACCAGTATGACGTAAGTTTGAGTGTAACATGGGTGAGATGACAGCATATGGACGACCATGGATCCGGCTAAAGAAGACTGTAGAGAACAGGATAAGATGGAGGCGTTCTGTTGAAGCCCTATGTTTCACTCAAAAACCAAGGGAATAATAATAGTAATAATCCCCTATGTTTAATCTAGGCGCGTTGGTTCTGATGAGTTATCTGACATTTGACAGAGCTGATATTTATGCCGATCATCAACATTTCAGCTGAAGGTATTCA